GGTTAGGAAATAGATGCCATGGTTACAGGGCGAATAAATAGGTGTCGAGTTCCCTGACACATCCTTGGATAAATGTGCCAAATAGGCAGATCTAAGATTTGATGGTTGGAAAATAGATGCCCCGGTTGCGCCGGAGAATAAATAGTTCTCAAGTCCCTGCAACTAGTAAAAAAACTCCTGAATAAATGGACTAGGTAATTATAATTAATTGATGATGCTTTAAGGTATTATCATCTTGTGACTGCCTTTTTCCAAAGAATAATACTTCCTGCGATCCATAGTACTTGCTCAAACAGATGTATTGAAGGGGGCAGAGGTGCGAAAAAAAAGCAAGCACTCCAAAAACTGATAAATGAGCCAAATTAGGCAGTACGGCATGTAATGAGACAACCAAGCTAATGGCCGAAACAAGCAGATGCCTAAGGAGAAATCTTAATTCTATATGAATTTTGATTTTGCTAACCGCATGTCCCATGCGGTGACAACGAGGTCCGTAGACCGGTATATAAGCAGCTCATGTTTCCTTTCCTCAGGCGATGTGGTACTAAAAGCATGCACGGGAGCAGGCTATGTTATATTTGAGAAATAGCAACTGAATGCTCAGCCCGCGGACCGAGCGCGAGCACCATAATCTAGGCCCTCTTACAGCCCAACAGGCCCACAACTGAAGAGGCTAGCAGCTCTTCCACGATGAGCGTTATGTTAGGAACTCCTATTGGATGCTCGCTGCGGCAAGCAGTCGGCGTTTCGCAAACAAGCAGCTTGGCTGGGCCGGCCCATATTGCGGGTGCGCCACATTCGTAGGTTAAAAATCGCGAAAAAGGAAAAGGGTACTGGAATCGAACCCGAGACTTCCTATTTCTAAGCGCGATGAGCTAGCCGCCCCAACTAGCTACTTCTTAGGGTAAATTGGCAGCGCGAACCTAAAGAAATTAACAGTAGCGAGAAAACATAAAATCTGAATACGCAAAATTACGATGAACCAAGGTGTGAGCGAGGCACCTGTCAACACAAGTAGGTAGCCACTATAGTTTCTAAGATTTCGTGTCAAAAAAGGTAGCCCAACAAATATGAACTATAAACCGCGACAAAGGCTATACTTAAAAAAAAATCAAACGTGAATTCTTTTGGCAAAAAGTAAATATTTTCTGAAACGCAACCATTTTATAATTTGTGAACAAAATTTAAAACTTAGAACATTGTATGAAACCGAAAACATTTTTTGGAATAAAAAAGGAAGAAAACTGAAATTGCGAACATTTTGTTTAAATGCGACCACTTCAAAATTTGTGAACAATAATTTTAAAATTAGAACATTTTCGTAATTTCATTTTTCAATGGACAAATTAATTGAATACGAGAACGTTTTTCAAATTTGCGAACACTTTTTTGAAAAACAGAATAGAATTGAAAACCCAAACATTTCGAATTTCCCAAAACATTTTTCGAAGACATGAACATTTTTGGAATTTGTGAACAAATGTTTTAAAGCACGAACGATTTTGAATCTTGAGAACAAATTTGGAAGCGCCAACTATTTTTTCAACCACGGACATTTTTGAATCTTGAGAACAAATTTTGAAATGGAAAACAATTTTGAAATATCCCGAACAAATTTGGAAGCACAAACAATTTTTTAAAGGACGAACATTTTTTGAATCATGAGAACAAATTTTGAAACGAAGAACAATTTTGAAAAATCCTGAACAAATTTGGAAGCGTGAACATTTTTTTAAAAAGTGAACAAAATATTGCAATCTGCTACATTTTTTGAATTTCTAATTTTTTGAACATTTTTGTGTAACAAGAACAATTTTTGAATTTTGAGAACATTTTTTCAAAAGCTGAACATTTTTTGAAAAGATGAACAAAATTTCAAAATTTCGATTTTTTTGAAGAAAAAAGAGAAGAAAAGAAAAATAAATAAAAAAGAAAATCCTTTTTTTTTGTAAAACTGCAAACATGTTCTGAAAAAGAAAAAGAAACATGAAAAAGAAAAGGTAACAAAAAAGGAAAAATGAAAAAGAAACAGAAAACGAAAAAACAATCAGGAAAGTGAAAAAAAAGTGGAAAACCAATAAAAGAAAAAAAAACGGTTCATGGAACCTTCTAGAAGGTTCATAAAACCGGAGTGGGCAGTTTGTATGCTACGTATGTAAGTGGGCCGGCCCAAAAGCATCGTTCGGTCGCTCGCTGTGTGCGAAGCGCCGGCAGTTTGCCGCAACGAGCGGCCAATAGGATTTTCCCGTTATGTTTGCCAAGAAAAGAAAAGAATAAATAGAGGGAAGAGCAACCTTATTGTCCCAGCCTGTACTGGATGACGTTGCTATGCTGAACAAGCCATCAGGTAATCAAATCCAAGCTAGCTACATTAGGAGGTAATAGCACTGCAGGTCCCTGAAATTGTCATGGAGGTGATGGTTTGGTCCTTAAACTTGAAAAAGCTGATTATTTGGTCCTTGAACTTGTCATGGAGGTGCAAGTTTGGTCCTAGGCGAATCACAGCTCGCCAAGTGGAGCCAGCTGGGCTGGGCTGGTCAGCGCCGCACATTTTGCAATTCCCCCCTGCCTTAAGCCCTAATCAACCCGCACTACACCTCGTTCGAGTCAGGGACCTGCAGTACCGGAGTCGGATCGATCGTGTTTGATTGTTTTGTTTAGGAAAAAACTTTCCTCGTTAAACATAATGTAATTTACTGTAGTTGTTAATATTGCCGATGGCACTAGCTTATTGTCGATGGGTCAAACGTGTTCCCCATACATGAGAGTTAATTATGGATACGACGGTGCAACTTTCTCCTTTTTCTACCATGCATGGGAGTTAGTTCCTTCCAGTATTCTTTAGAGATCCATTCTAATCTCTGTTCGTTGACTCCTGAGTCTCCGAGTTGATATTCAAGCAACTTTTGAACGTATATAAATTGTTTAGATTCGATATGAGAACTCGAGGTGGGATTATTTAGTCACGGGACTACAATGTTTTTTATCTGAGCCCAATAATATGAATGTGATCCAATAACAGCACGTCGGTCAAGAACCCAATAACAAAAACATAGTCACTATTATTCTGGACAAGCGTGTGCAAGAAATGTCCTAGAACAGTGTTGTTAAATCAAGAGCTAACTCTTCAAAGATCTAGAGGCACTCGAGAGAGTCTTAAGAGTTTGATTCATTTATTCTCTACTAATATCACCTTGTTGGAACAATGTCATAGAAGACATGGACAACACAAACAGAAGAGAGAATGTGATCTCCTTATTTATTTCCAACCGTTTCATTTTGTGTTCTAAATAGAGCTTACATAAATGTGTAAAGTCAACCAAAAACCTATTTCAATTGTCTAAGGACGAATGGATGAGAATCAATCCTAGATGAGGCGTATGCCTTTGTGACAGGCATGGTATTCCTAAGTTGGAAATTTAAGAACAATACGTCAAACTAAAGAATCCAAGACAAAATATAGCAACGATGTCAGAAATTATTTGTGCATTTTTTTCTTCACACGTGCGTGTGTTCATAAAAAGGCGCATTCCTTTTTCTAGGAAGTCACATACACATTACTATTTTAACAACACGGCTAATTCTTTTTATTCACGGTGACTGGCAAGGTCTAGAATAAAAATGAATAATGGTTAATTTAATATCTGAGAAAGCGGGTTTTCATAGCCGTGCATTAACATTTTCCCACAACCCTGCCATACAAGAGTGCGTACAGTGCATCATGCGATAAAATGGCTGGTACTCGGTTACTAAGTTTAATAAAATGATTGTGTGCATTATCAGCCGGGGCCATCCCCTTTTTAGTAAAAGAAGAAAAAAAAACATACAGTGTAGGTGCTTGGAAAAACTACCAAGTTTGCTTTACTTTGCTTACACTGTGCTAAATAATTAACCAATTTAGGCACATGCACAATTATCAGCACCGGGCATGATCCGACAATGCTACAAAAGTTAGAAAGTTATGCACATGCATAACTATCAGCGTCATCGTCACCCCTGGCCGTCCTTAATTTGGTTCTTCTTTCAATCAACTAACTCATAAGTTCTTTCATCGTTGCATTCGTCGGCATATGTCATCTCTCTAATTACCTTGGTTGCTTCTTTTGCTGGGCGAACCTTTCCGCTAATCCGAAGAAAAGAAACTCGGCTTTATCCTTGTTCATGAGTTGACCGGGACTGATCTAAACACATTTTGTGGTATTGTAGTTGAGTACTTTACGACGGTTTTTTTGTGTGTGTGGCTTTAGGGTAAATATAATCTATGCATGTACGTAAACCATCTCTGGCGTAGCCGCGTAGGCACGTGAAAAAAAGCCTGCCCGCTGCTACCCAGCTCCAGAGTCCAGACTGCCCATTTCCATTTTTGTGCAAGGTCCATCGTCGCTGATCACCAAGCATGCATGGACTGCGGCTGGTTTCAACATGAGGTAATAGCAGTGCAAGCGCGAACGAGGTGTAGTGCGGGTAGATTAAGGCTGAAGGCAGGGGGGAAATTGCAAAATGTGCGGCGCTGCCCACCTGGCTCCACTTGGCGAGCTGTGATTCGCCCAGGACTAAACTTGCACCTCCATGACAAGTTCAAGGACCAAATAATCTGCTTCTTCAAGTTTGAGGACTAAACCATCACCTTCATGACAAGTTCAGGGACCTGCAGTGCTATTACCTCCTACATTAGCAATGCATATGGCTCCTCCATGTTTAAAGGAGGCAAGCCAGACTTCTATCTTAATGCCCGGGGGGAGAGCACACCAGAGAGGTTTTGGCGCAGCGTTCAACTTGCTGCTTTTATTGTTCCCCTTTTATTCTGAATCACAGATGAACATAACAGATCTGCACAATCCGCGAGCTGAGAACACAACGAAAAAACGGCTGGATTTCTTATTAAACTCAGGAGAAAAACCTCAAACAGTTCAACTGACGAAACCGGAAGTGTAGATGGCTTTATTCGACACAGGCAGTCCATATACTATTGGATGAAACAGCTAGCGGACGATGGATTGCTAATTTGGTACTTTGAGAGGCTCATTGATAACTGCATTCACTAGGCTGTTCAATGAAGTTGGCGAGCTAAATCCATCTGTCTCGCGGTAGTACACGAAGTTAGTCTGGCATATGTTCCAGAACCGCTTTTTGAATGTTCTCGGAACGACGCTTCCTTTCCTAAAAACCAATTTTTGCAGATCTTTCCTGCAAGTATCTATGGACTTGTGCACCACACCTAGGGCGTCTTCTATAGACATAGAACCACCACTGTGAAGAATAAGCAGATGGACTATGTTCAGTTTGCCTTCGCTGCCCTCCCTCTGCAGAAGTAGATGAATAATGTTGTAAATTGTAATACCCTTCAAATGTAATTTCCGTCACACTCAATGTCCCTTTATATATACTAAAATACATACAAATATATAGAAAAATGCTTTTGTGCACCTGGGAGTATGTGCTCCCACGTTTAATGTAACACAAAATTGAATCGATTGTACACCTGGGATGGGATTATGTACCCCCACTGTTAAATAGACATATTTGTAATGCACCTTCCTTGTTATATTTTGCATTTATATTTCGTACTAAAATTAAAAACAAAGTTAATCAATTTGCAGGTTATGCTAGTATAAATCCAGAGTTCTCAATCCCATAGGCAGTAAAATTATATACACTAAGGTTGTGATGCTGAAAAATCTTATACTTGAATTGAGTAAAAAATAATTTCATATTAATACAGGTGATTTAATTATATGCTGAAAGCATCCATATTTTTGTCAGCTATGTAAAAATCTTTTAGGAATATTGACATATTTTGTCGTAAAGTCTGCAAATACCTCAAAACTTTGACTGTCATTCAGGAGACGGCCACAAGTGCTCATTAGCCGATATAACTCATTGTATTCGTGATCTTTGACAACAGTAGCCTTGAGATTTTCTCGCAAAAAATATAATGTTGGGAACAGAATGGGGCCCATAAGATAAGAAGGAACTGCATTTTTCATGTACTCTTCAATTGTTGGCACATATTGGCTCCTCTGCCATACTGCCTTGGTCATCGTACCCCTCATTGCATGTAACCACTGTAGATGAACTTGAACTTGTCAAACACTGAACCCAACGAATCATGCATAGTCACAAAATAATACAACACCCCCCCCCCACCCAATCCCAAAATTCTTGTCTTAGATTAGTCTAGATACAGATGTATCTAATACTAAAATGTGACTTGATACATTCATATTTAGACAAAATCTAAGACAAGAATTTTGGGGACGGAGGGAGTATATAAAACTCACTGCGTCTATCATGTGTTCTCTAACATCCCGATTTTGCAGTGTGGAAGCCATTGCCCCAAGCTGGTTGACAGTTGAATATAGAGCAGAAAATACTATTTTTACTTCCTCTGAGTAGAAATCTTCTTCGTTGTGCCCATCCCACCTAACATAACCATTGGGAGAAAAGGGGAAGGTCAGTTTTTAGCAATTCATAAGACACCAGTCGTGAAGAAAGAGCAGAAAAACACATGAGGGATTATACTTCTCAACCAATGATATGAGGTTTCCCAGTTCTTCAATTGATCCCCCAACATCAAAAAAGTCATCAACAACGGTGGTAAGTACTGCATTTTTGGTCAATGAACTGCGGGCATCTGACAATTCTGGCTCGCATATGTTAGCGGCAGCCGAGAGATAGATATATGGCAGCTTCTGTCGTGCAAATTTTAGCTGGTCCAGCCCGTGCTCTTTGACCCAACTGTCATAAAATTTTGGAAATATTCTAAAAACGAAGTTCTCAAAACAAGAGTGCGTATCTATATATGATTACCTGTCAAGATGAAGGAGCTCATCCTGATAAATAGATTGACAAGTAGTGAAATCTTCAACAGCCAAAGCCAAAATATCTTGGAATACACCATATGGCCTGATTCGGGAAAAAATGTTTGAAATGGTTGTCTCAGCTATATTTATATGACCCGCGTGTTTCTTTTGCGAAATAGCTAGCTTACAAGTATTCCGTCTTTTGCATCTGAGCACACCTAGCATCAAAATTTTCGATATTGCACCTGTGGTCTAGACGTTCCAATGTGGCATAAAAGGGAAATTCAAGAGCATGAACCACCTAAAATTATTGAAGGATGGAGTTAAACATGAATTGAAGCACCAGTGATATCTAGGGTCAAATCCTTTTCTTAATGGTAAATTCAGGAAAGCACCTCCGCAAAAATTGGCTCTCTTTGCACCTCATTAGAGCACAACTTTTCCTTCAATAAGCTGGCAGACCAGATGGCTATATTGTCCAATATCACGTCATCTTCTGACAAACATAGTTTTGAAGCCTTGTACAATTCAAGTATGCATTTTGTATCATTCAAATATCCTTTTAGTGAACTAGTGAAACTGGAGAGTTCCGCAACATGGGACATGCCATCTGTGCGAGATTAAAACGAGTAAGTTAAAACAAGTCAGAACATTGAGTAAGCAGAATAATGAATTCTGACCTGAGGAGACATCGTATCCATTCATCCGTAAAAGGCGAAATGCCATTGCACATGTTGTGATGTCTAGCACGATTTTCTCATCTCTTTGCAACCACAAACTGAAAATGGCATAGAATCAAGTTTATAAACATCTAAAAGAAGATATCAAATCATCACTAACAAACGGTCATTACCTGTATGTCATATCTAGAATGTCATTTATCTCACTAGAAAACTGCTTATATATTCCAACTTTTTGAAGAGAATCAACCAATGAGAGCTGAAATTGTATATTTATCGGGTAAACTGTTGGAACTACATAAATAAAATACTGTTAGTAGGTATGGAGAACAATCGAGTATTGAACTACAAAAAAAATTGTATCCCCCTCATACGAAGGTTTGAGTTTTATGAGGGTCCTTTATCAAAAAGTAATGGAGAACAATCGACGGCCTTGCAATTAAGACGGAAAGGTAGAATGACCCACCTGCACTTCCAAAATGGCTGACAAGTAAATCTAGATATTGGAGAGCCTTTTCATCGTAATTGAAAATCACGGAAGCAGCAGTTGTCGAAGGAGAGTCGAAGAATGATCCGTTCTTTCTCTGGAACTTCATTGTTTCATTCCAGTCTAATTGATTTCCTAACCCTTCGGCTATGTAAGCCATATATGCATCTTTCCCGCAAGATTTATCTCCAGCAAGTCTGAATTAAATACGTACAAGAGATATCAAATGTAACTGAGAGGTTAATTTACATAATACTAATATTCCGATTGACCAATCTTTCATTCTCGGTAGCACAGGTAAATATGAATGACATCATGCTCACAGAACACTTTTTAGACAAACTTATAAAAGGAAATCTCCTTAAAATTTTCTCTCGAGAAGCATAAGTGTTAGAAACAAGGCAGATAAATATTTCCATTGACATAACCAGTGTTCAAGCAAATGAACTTAACAAATCAGATGTTTCTCAAGTACAATGGGAAGGAAAAACAAGACACTTTTAATTCTAGAAATTTCACTGACTTACCGTTTTAATTCCTCCTCTCTGAGGTGAAGAATCCCATCAACATCAGTCTGTGGAATAGTCAATTCTAGACCAATCCCAATGGCAGTGCTAAGCAAACTAGGAAATATTATGTCGAATCCTATAGGAGTATCAATCTTATTCATGGCAATGGAGATATTTCTTTCAATGAAACTCAGTCCTGATCAATATGATTATCATCAAATGAAGGCATTTCAGTTCTCAAAAGTAAGACAATAAAAGAACATAAACCAGTAAATACATCTTTTTCTCTATACCTCTCCTTATGTGCTCGAGGCCAATGTTCCATTTTTTAAGTGCAACAACACAAGCCAATGTGGACAAGAGAAGATCCTTTTTTGCTGAAGAGTCGGCTTCATGGATACCCCAAGATCCATTATCATGTTGATTTTGCAATATCCATTCCACACACCCAGGGAAGCATGGGGACGAAGGAGAACGAGGCAATGGCACCAAAGCCATCCATGCAGTGTCATACGAAGATAGAGATAATTCGGGATTGTTGAGCTGCTTCCTTATTACATCCTTCCGTTCCTATGTTGTTTACGGTATTAACTCGATGCGACCATTCCCATTCATCAAATATTTAACAGAGAAGACCATTTTCTACAGTAAATATTGCTCCAAGTCCACTCTGGACATTTAATTCCGGAATAGTTGAAAAGAAAAATGAAATTAGAAAACAACTACCTTTTTCATTCTTGACCAGTTTAACATAGTTTATCTGAATAAGGTGTCACATGAGGAGGTCACCTACTAAAGGTAGTGTCAAAGACCTGACATCTAGGACCAACCTAAGGTCCCACACCATCATTGTTAGGTCTCTGGACCACATGCGCATTAGGATGCGCATGACAAAGAAGTCCACTCGGACGCACCGGCAGCACTCGAACATCTTCCCTCCAGTCGGCCCAGCCACCATCAATCGGACAAGGGAGACGATGGGGTAACGTTGGAGCTGCAATGATCGAGTAGTCTTAAGTCGGGGTTTAACGTAGTTATGGCTACTGTTACCTATAACTACCGTACTTGTGGTTATTTACACTAGTAACCATCGTAGTTTTGACACTTAAATCACCCTTGCAACCTGGTGTTGGAGAGGTAGCGGCGCACTTTATATAAGCTACCCTCTTCCTCTTGGGAAAGGATTAAGCACTCTCTGTAATCATATCCCTCAAGAGAATACAAGCCTCAGGACCGAGACGTATGGTTGTTACCTCCTTCAAGAAGGGTCTGAACTCGTAAACACCGAGTGTCACACCTGCACCGTAGGTAGGCTCTGCCCCTCTTTCGTACCCCTAGTACTCATTGTTCGGATCGTAACCCCGTCATCACACGCAGGTTTTTTTTCTCGGCTGCAAATTTGTACTGGATAGCACTGGCATATCCGGTTTTTGAAAAAAAAGGAAATCTCAGCATTATACCACCCGAGTTATTTCAAATAAAATTGGATTAAAAATTAGGCACAAAACAAATAGATTAGGTACCCTAGGTACACAATATAACATGCAGGACGCAGCTGCTAGAGCTTTGCTCTTTGTTTTATTTTTAGACCGCAAAGAGAGTAAATGGCCCCCCAAAAAAAAAATGGTTGCGACTGGATTTGATGCCGCGACCTGTCCGCATGGAGAGCTCCTATACGCAGCCCGTCAGTGTCCGTTTATCGCGGCTTCGCTGAAGCGGCACGCAAATGGGCCGGCCCTATCACAAGTCCAGCGAAAAATCTAAAAAAAGGAAGCGCACGCATGGATCAAACTGCACACCTCATTCAGGATTCTAGCGAGCCAAGCCAAACAAGCTAGCGATTACAACGGTGTTCATGCAGCGCCAGTCTTAAAATATGCAAGACGGCGGCAAAATCTTTTTCTCCAAAGAAATCATTTTTTAAATATACGCTGAACAAATTTTAAAAGACAGTGAACCTTTTTTTGGAAACAAACACTGAACAAATTTCCAATACACAAATGAACATTTGTAGTATGCATCGAACAATTTTTTTAATGTACGATGAACAAATTTTAAATACACAATGAACAATTTTTAATATATGTTGAACAATTTCATAATATATGGTGAACATTTTCGTAATACACGATGAACATATTTATAATTCTAGGTGAACTATTATATAATATATGATAAACACTTTCTTAATACGATGAAGATTTTCGTAATACGTGGTGAAGAAATAAGAAGAAAACAGAAACAGAAAATAAAAAAGGAAACATAAAAGAAGAAAAATAAAGAAGAAAAATAGAAGAAAACAAAAAATAAATAGAGACGGAAGGAACAGAAAAACGGAAAAAGGAACCATAAAAGGAAACAGAAAAATTAAGAAAAACGAAATAGAAGAAAACAGAAACAGAAAATAAAAAAGGAAAAACGGAAACAGAGAAACGAAATAGAAGAAAACAGAAACAGAAAATAAAAAAGGAAATATAAAAGAAGAAAAATAAAGAAAAAGGAACCAAAAAAAACGGAACGAAACAACTGAAAAACGGGAAAAAGAGTGAAAAAACTAGAAGCAAAAAAACCATATAAGAAAAACGAAAAAAACCCGCAAAGAACAGAGACGGAAGCAGCAGCGAATGAATCAAACGGCAAACGCCAATCCCGTACCTGGGCCGGCCCAACCGAGGCTCGCCTGAGCGAAAGCACAACGATCTGACGCTAACGAGCGTCAATAGGGTTTGTGTCCGCATGGTCAAAATGACCTTCTTTTTTAAGAAACATGGTCAAAATGACCTATCCTATAGCAGCGGGGCGTGGGCAGGACTGAAGACTAGGCCAATCTAACTAATGGATAGGAGCTAATTCATCTTGGGTTGATGATCAATGGGCTATACTAAGCTTGATAGACTGGGTCCTGGAGAAGGCGCCTGCCATGTTCGGCGGAAGGAGAGGGGATGTGATGGGAGCTCCTATGCAGCGCTGCAAGCGCCCTTTAATGATCTGGTGCCTACATCACTGCTAGCATGGGCCAGCACACTAGCGTGTTGCCCCAGTTTCTTTTTGATTTTTTTGTTATGAAAATAAAATTATGAAATCAAAAAAGGTTTACAGATTTAAAGAAAAAAGGTTCATCCATTTTAAAAAATGTTCATATCTTTTAAAAAGTTCATCAATTTTGAAAAAAGTTTATCAAGTTGAAGAAAAGTTCATTCAAATTGAAAAAAAGTACATCCAATTGAGCAAAATTTCGATAATCTTTTAAAAAGTTCATTAAATTTCAAAAAAGTTCATAGAAATTCAAAAACAAGTTCATGTATTTTTAGAAAAAGTTCATTGAACTGAAAAAAAGTTCATAGATAAAAAAAAGTTCATCCATTTTCAAAAAGATGTTCATCAAATTTCAAAAAGTTCATCCATATTCATAAAAGTTCATCAATCTGAAAAAAAAACTGTTGAAATTTTTAAAAAGTTCATAGATATTCTAAAAAGAAAATGTCAACCGGCGCCTAGACGGGCCGGCCCATTTACGGACGCCATAGGCACCAAATAGGAAATGCCGGACGTGACGGGAGGGAGAGGACCGGATCGAGCTGTACATGTCCACATTCTGCTCCATAGAGCCCGGATTGTGTACTTTGTACATGATGGAATTGCAAAACTGCCTGGCACGGATCTTGGAACGCTTCTGACCATCGGATAAGACGAGGACTTGCAAGCGCAGGCTTAATTTCCGAAATACTGACTTGTTTTCGTAAGCTCATTTCCAAGTTTTAGGGTCTAAAAGCAACTAAAACTATTTCAATCATGAAGTTGAAACAAGGAGGAAGAATGATATTCATACCTTGTATCCCTGGTTTGCCTTTTGTCTTACATATGCTGTTTGACAAAGATAAATAAACGTTTGTCATGGACCAATAGACGATTACTTATGTGGTACATGGATATCATACAACAACTTGGAAGCATCTGAAGAACCGAAAAGCATTACGCTAGCTGGACGGGAAACTGAACTCCTAGCGAACTCCCTTTAATCCCACACATTAAAACGTGTTTGTCTATCCACGCCAAACATCGAGCACGAGGACCAGTAACTATTTTTTAAGAAAGGAGGATAACCCCCGACCTCTGTATCCGGACGATGCATGCAGCCATATATAATTAAAAGTGCAAAATCTAGCAGCGAACAACATCGAACCGAAAATAAAGCAAAAAAAAAACCAGAGGCCGCATGCGCAGTAAGTCCAACAAATAGCCACTAACCATATGTTATAAGGCGACATCAAAACAAAAAGTACACAACTCCTATGCTATGCACTCAAGAAGGAATCACCTTACGTGCGCCGACGATGACAAGTCCAATACCAAGTTGTACTCCGGATTCTCATCCCCGAAGTTAAGCTTCAATCCACTACCTTCAGCAAGGACACAACGCAGGCGTGCGTCGACTGACCTGATCAGAGATCTTGTGTTTCCACCGAAGTGCATAAATTCGTCGTTGAAACCGTTTGTACCATCACCCCTTATCTGATTACCGATGCCTCGATACCCGGATATACCTCTGGACAAGACATCAGAAAAAGGACGCCGCATACCGCCTACCTCCCGCCACAGTCGCACCACCTTCGATCTAGCACCAAGAAGCTAGTCATGATACCTCCCCCAGAGCCACCGTGCAGCACGTGCTGGTGGCAGGCATGACTTGACATCCCTGCATGAGACATCGTGCGTAACATCCGCTGGCGGCGCATCCGCCGGAGGCTTCGACTGCATGCAAAAGCCACTTCTCGGTGACTCAGAAAGAAACGTATGTGTCACCTCCCGAGCCGCATCGAACTTGATCTGTTGATGGAAGGAATGTCCCATACTGCCACCAGCCTCAGAAAGGCCGTCAACACCTTGAGATCCAGACTCAAGTCGCCTACACGACCGTGAAATCTGCCACTGTCGAAGATCGGTACTAGATCCTAGTGTCCTCTAGCCGCTCAGTACGCACAACATACGCAGGATACGCTCCTAGCTACCTCGTGGAAGCTGCTCAGGAATTCCTGAGGTCTTTCGGAAGCAGATGCGGCAGCGCATGAGCTTGCCCGAAAGAATAGATTGCGGGGAGAGGAAGTAAAAGCATCAATAGATCATGACATAGGGAGAGCAAGATTTAACCATCCGTGTCCAAGCGACGAGAGTGCTCTATCATAATAACAGCAAGGACTGGACATGCCGGTGTGAAGATTCTCTCCCAGCAACACCAACTCATGAAAGAAAAACATTAATCCAAGCAGAGCAAGAGCTCCTTACCATGAGAAGAAGAAATCTTTCGAGACCTCACGCAAATCCAGTGGAGTGGAGGTGGACGCCGACGACCACGGAAGGCGGCGAGGTGGCATGCATTTGTGGAAGAAAGGCTGGTGCTGGAGGTATGCTCGGCGGCGCGGGTGAGGGAGAGGCGAGATGAGTTTGCTTGCTGATGGCGCGAGCGAGAGGTTAGGCCGGACTGGTATACCGCCGCCGCAGGGAGGACGATAGTGTGACGACCGGTTAGTCGGCGAGGGGCCATGAGGACGGAACCGGCCCAAACATGTGCTGGGCTCAACATGGGAAAAGGGGATCGATCACCTTATGACACGGCAGTTGTCGCTGGAAGCCTGGAACTCCAAAGAACCGTAGGTATAGATATAGACAGTGAATGCGACAAAACAAGGCAAAAACAAATTATTAGAGCATCTCCAGCAGGCGCGCTACATACGTGCCGCGCTGAAAAAGTAGTGCTTTTAGCGCGCGCTACCGTTTCGGGCGCTCCCGCGAACACGCAAAAACCACGCGCGCGGCATATGTAATTCAGCGCGCGGGCGGAAACGCCATCGCACGCCGCTTATTTGCTGCGCCGGCTCCCGCACGCTGAACTCTCGAGCGCTCGCGCGCAACTCCACCTACCCATCCAGCCACGTCGCCGCCGCCGCCCGCGCCATCCCATTTTTTCGGCGACCATTCCGGCGCTTCCCCAGTCTCTCCCCGCGCGGCCGCGGCTTCCTCCCTCTCTCTGGTCAGCGCCGCCCGTCGCGCGCGGCAGTTCTCCGACGAACAGCGCTCGGCCGCCCACTGCCGCTTGGTCCCCGCAAGGTGTTTGAGTTGTAATAATAAATTGAACTATTTATTTTAAACTTGGTTGAATGATGTTTGTGATTTAAATTATATGCCATGTCTTTGTTTTGTGGATGTGTTGTGTCCAAAATGCAACAAATGTGATGCGCCGGCTGCTCGCGCGCTGCATTTTAGCGCGCTGCTGGAGCTGCGCGCGCGCTGCATTTCAGGGCAGCTGCTGGAGCCAGCGCTGCGCGCCGCGCCAAACCCGGCGATGGGCGCGCCGAAAAACCGGATTTTAACGCGCCACACGTTGGGCGTCTGTTGGAGATGCTCTTATAGTTGATGCGACACAGAGAGAGAGGTGTGTTCGCACTCGAACACATCCGGACATCCTTAATTTAGTTAAAAAGATCAATGGAATCTTTCCATCATGTGGTGATCTAACTAAGGAAACAAAAATAACAAAATAGCGCTCGCCTTGAGGCAGCACACTCTTACTTTGGATTGTTGTGCCCTCTCAAGAATCCAATGATGAGACCACTAGGAGGAGTAAAGAGCTAGCATGAAGGGTTGCTTCTATCTATCACTATGACCAACAAGAGCCCGCCTTGTTTTGTTAAGAAAAACATCACCGGAATATTTCCATCAAGTGGCCATCCCGCTAAAGAAACAAAATTGTACAGTCTACTGACTCATAGTTTGGATTGTCGTGTCCACTTAAGAATCTAGTGTATCAGGCAGATTGTTTTGCAATGAGATATAAGCTGGTGTGTTGAGGACATATCAGACGATCAACTTGGCTTATTGCGATTATTTCATGATAATGCCAATGGGTGTAGTTACGAGCTTGGATCATGGAGTTGGTTGTATTTATCACTATGAACCACGAGGTGCTTTTCCCTTCTAAAGAAAAAACTTAACAGAATATGTGGAATCTTTACATCATTCGATCATCCCACTAATTAAGAATAATGGGAAAAATTGTATGCTCTTCTTGAGGTAGCAGACTATGAGTTTGGATTATTGTATCCCTCAATTTTGTTTGAATTGACATACTAGCTAGTGGGGTGATGATGTATCAACCAATAAATGTGCGTATTGCGATTAGTTCATAATAAGGCCAGTGGGACGAGTAAATAGCTAGCATCACAGGATTGGTTCTATTTACTCGTTATAACAAATCAGGGTCTCTTTTTATTAAGAAAAATTTGAACAAAAATTGTGGATTCTTTCCATCATAGTCATCCTGCAAAAGAAACAAAAAAGGCATGGCTTTTATGCTCTCCTTGAGGCAGAAGACTCTTAGTTTTGATACCTTGCAAAAAAGATTCTTAGTTTCGATTGTTGTGCCAACTCAAGAATCCAAAGTATCCAGCCAATTGATTTTTCAATCACATGTTAGCTGGTAGGGCTGATTAGCTGGCAGGGCTGATGATGTATCAATCAATTAACTTCGTTTATGTAAATGTATTCTTTGTTCATGATATGGCCAATGGGAGGACTATACATCATGAGACTGGTTGTATCCATAACTATGACCAACGAGGGTCCCCATATTTTATTAAGAAAATTTTAAGGAAATCAGTAGAATCCTTACATCATTGATCATCCCACTTAAGAAACTAAACTGACAACACTATAAAGTCACCTTGAGACAACAAACTCTTAGTTTGGCTTCTTGTGTCCCCTCAATTATATAATGTATCAAGACAACTATTTTTGTAATGACCTATTATTTGACCAGCTGATGATTTATCGGTCAATCAACATGTCTTATTAGATTGTGCAATTAGTACATGATAATTCCAATGGGAGGAGTAAAGAAATTAAATCATGGAGTTGGTTGTATTTATAACTATGTCCAATGAGGGTTCCATTCTTTTATTAAGATAAATTGAAGGAAATCTATGGAATATTTCCAGCATGTGGTCATCCTAATAATTTGTCTATTCTAATGTAGATGTGTGCATATTAGTTCACGAGGAGTAAAATGGGAGGCTGATGATGTATCAACTAATCAACTTGGCTTATTATAATGGGTGATTAGTTTGGGGCTAATGGGGGAGTAGAGAGCTTGCATCATGGGGTTCGTTGTATTTATCAATATGAGAAACCAGGGGCACCCCATCCTTTAAATTAAAAATCAATGGATTATTTCCATCATGTGGTCATCAACCTAAGGAAACAAAAACAACAAAATAACGCTCACCTTGAAGCAACACACTTAGTTTGGATAGTTGTGCCCTCTCAAAAATCCAATGTTTCCAGCCAATTTTGTTTGCAAGGACATATTAGCTAGTGGGGTGTTGATGTATCAACCAATAAATTGGCTTATTGCGATGAGTTCATAATATGGCCAGTGGGACGAGTAAAGAGCTTGCATCATGGGGTCGGTTCTATTTCTTCGCTAGGAAAAATGAGGGTCTCCTTAGTTTATTAAGAAAAAATTGAATGAAGAAAATGTGGAATCTTTCCATCATATGTTCATCCTCCAAAAGATACAAAAATAGCACAACTTTATGCTCCCCTTGAGGCAGAAGACTTAGTTTTGATTGTCGTGTCGGCACAAGAATCCAATGTATCTGTCCAATTGATTTTGCAATCACATATCAGCTGGCACTTATATTATATAGACAATTCAACTTGGTTTATTGGAATGTATTCTCGATTCATGATATGGCCAAGGGGAGGATTAAAGAGATTACATCATGGGGTTGGTTGTATCTATAACTATGACTAACGAGAGTCTGCATATTAAATTAAGTAAATTTTAAGGAAGTCGGTAGAATCTTTCTATCATGTGATTATCCAACTTAAGAAACAAAAATGACAACACTATACGGTCACCTTGAGACAACAAACTCTTAGTTTGGCTTGGTGTGACCCCTCAATAATGTAATGCATCAAGATTTGTTGTTGTTGTAATGACCTACTATTTGGTAGCCTGATGACTGGTCAATCAGCTTGTCTTATTAGAACGTGCAATTAGTATATGATAAGTCCAATGGGAGTCGTAAAGAGCTTGAATCATGGGGATGGTTGTATTTATAACTATGTCCAATGAGGGTTCCATTCTTTTATTAAGATAAACTGAAGGAAATCTAAGGAATCTTTCCATCATGCGATTATCCCAATAATTTGCCTCTTCTAATATATGTGTGCACACATTAGTTCATGAGGTGGCAAATGGGAGGCTAATGATGTATCGACTAATCAACTTGAATTATTATAATGTGTGATTAGTTTGAATCTAGTGGGAGGAGCAGTGAGCTTGCATCATGGGGTTGGTTGTATTTATTACTATGACAAACAAGGGGCACCTTTTACTTTATTTACAGGAATCAATGGATCTTTCCATGATGTGGTCATCGAACAAAAAAAAACAAAATTGTACAATCGCCTTGAGGCAGCACACTCTTAGTTTGGATTGTTATGCCCTCTCAAGAATCCAATGTACTCCCTCCGTTCCTAAATGTAAATCTTTTTTAGAGATTCCAATGCAACCACATATGGATGCATATATACATATTTTAGAATGTAGATTCACTCATTTTCCTCCATATATGTACTTCATAGTGGAATCTCAAAAAAAGACTTATATTTAGGAACGGAGGGAGTATCTGGCTAATTGTTTTTGCGATGACATATATGATGGTGGGATGATGCTGTATTGATATATCAACTTGGCTTATTGCCATTAGTTCATGATGAGACCACTAGGAGGAGTAAAGAGCTAGCATGAAGGTTTGGTTCTATTTATCACTATGACCAACAAGGCCGCCTTCTTTTGTTAAAAAAAACATCACCGTAATACTTCCATCAAGTTGTCATCCCGCTTGACGGTGTCCTGTACTAGGGGGTACTCACCACGTCGTCTTCTGACTAGGTGGATCGGGCCGAGGACCCCCAATGGCGGTTTACTCATGGGCCACTTCGAGCAGCCCATGACGCATACAAGAAGGATTCCACAAGACTTGGCGCACAATACGAGAACTGCTCTAAATCGAAGGCCTCAGATGCATTATATAAACCGAGGCTAGGCTAGTTGATAGATGATCTCCTATTCATTAGAACAATCTAGTGGTAAATACATGTATCATGTACTACACCCATATCAATACAATTAAAGGCATGACATAGGGTTTTATCTCTTCTCGAGAGCCCGAACCTGGGTCAAATCCTCTGTCCATGTTACCATCGCTCTAAGACGCCTAACTTAGGTCCCTATTACGAGATATGCCGGATAGAGAACCGACATTGGTGCTTTCATTGAGATCCTTCTAGCAGTCGCCACAGTGCGATGGTAATACAGATCATCTCTGGCACGATCTACGCGTCAAAACTGAGCTTCACCTCAGCTGGACCGACGAATGAGCTCCGTGTCGGATCATCAAGATTGGATGGATACTTTCATCATCATCAACTCCGATCTCTATCAAGATCATGGAGCAATCATCCATGGATCTCGGGGGCTCAACATCAACATTGCCCTCGGGCGACCGTGTTGTTTTT